AAATAGTGCATAAGTTATGCTGGTTAGCTTTTAGACCAGAAAAGGCATGCCTGAGATGGTTTTTTTTCCAATGTCTAGTTACTTGGAACTCATTTCTGGTAGTTTAGGGGGGATGAGTCAATTTTTGTGAATGTCCGCTTTTTTACATTCTTTTTGCCGTCCAAAAAATTTTCATCAATTACAAAATTTGTCAATAATTTTTTCGTGTTTTGAAATAAGCGTAAAAGATTTGATTTTCTTTCATAAAAAAAAAAATTCGTCCCTCAGTTCCCTCCGTTTTTTCTGCAAGAATCTTCCCTCTGATTGTCTGCCTTATTTTCTCGCAGTATTCTTTTCCTTAATTACTTACCTCATTTTTTCCTCTGCAACAATCTTCCCTCTGATTATTTGCCTCATTCTACCAGTTTGTTTACGTGTATTTCTTGTCACTGTAATATGATGCTGAAAAGAGTTCGAAGTGTGATGCTTCCGTTCTTGGATTTGCACTGCATTTGTGTTTATCCCGTGGTGTTTTCCAGGAATGATGCAGATGACGTGGAAACGGCGCAATCGTCGCATCAGTTAACGGAAGATAAGAAGGATGTGGCTCTGGAGACTGAACTGGAAACAAGAACACCATCTTCTTCCCTTATCGGTTTGAATTTTCACATACATCCCTCTCCCGGTCCCCCCGTACACCGGTCATTATTCATTTTACCACCACCACCACCAGCAACAAGAGCAGGAGCAATTTCACTAGCACAAATCCATAAATCAACGTCGCCTGTTCAACAACATCGGCACAGACTTTTTTGCTTACTCCCAAAAGCAAAACTTCATCATTGTCTTCTCTGCACCAAAAAAAAACATCACATCCATTCCGTATTTTTCTTCAAACGGTTAGGTGCAGTTTCGTGTCAGTGAACTACATAAGGTCACTGCCGTCTAAAAGTAGCAATATTCGGGCTGAAATGGTGTTGCTCAACACACATATCAAAGATATCACGAAACGGCTTCGTCGGAAGAACAGTTGAGCTGGTAAAAACAAAAAAACTGCCTTCAGGATCGCCAACAGGCTGACCACAAGACGATGCAGTAGCACTGATCAAAGTTACCAGCTGTGTAGAAAGACGGTGCACCGCCATTGGACCAATAAACTGACAGTGGAAAGGCATGATAATCCTAGATGTTCACTCGTAACATCTCCCTTCCCCCCATCTCTCGCTCTTTTTTCCAACAAAATTTCCTCTTTTCTGCAATATTTGGCTTGATTTTTGTACAAACATCCCTTTTTACGATAAACCAATTTTATTTGTATGAATTTTCATGAGGTTCGTTACTGCTTCATG